GGTCGGTAACCGGCATGTTTATGCCATAGGGCAGACCAGACATGTTCCGATTTTATCATGTTCCAATTTTGAAACGGTTTATTTCGGCCAGAAAAAGTATGATTAATCATCTCTCCCTCTCCGTATGGCAAGGGAGTAATAGATGCGTGCTCCAAGGAAAGTGCGTAAAAAATAAGGGAGCCTACGACTCTGTGTGCCCAAAGAAAGGGGTGGGGTACCACCCCTCGCCTGCCGCTTCCCCGCTCCGTGCCTCGTCCCCTGCTGCTTCCGTCCCCTGCCGCCTTCTCCCCTGCCGCCTCCTAACTAACCTGCCGCCTCCTCCCCTGCCGCCTGCAGCCTCATCCCTTGCCACCTCTGTCCCTGCCACCTCTATCCCTGCCGCCTCCATCCCCTGCCACTTCCTCCCCTGCCACCTCCTCCCCTGCCACCTTCTCCCCTGCCGCCTCTATCCCCTGCCGCCTCTGCCCCTGCCGCCTCTATCCCTGCCGCCTCCGTCCCCTGCCACTTCCTCCCCTGCCACCTCCTCCCCTGCCACCTTCTCCCCTGCCGCCTCTATCTCCTGCCGCTCCTCGCATGTCGCCTCTATCCCCTGCCGCCTCCTCCCCCTTCTGCCTCCATCCCCTGCCACCTTCTCCCTTGCCGCCTCTATCCCCTGCTGCTTCCTCCCCTGCCGCCTCCTCCCCTGCTGCCTCTATCCGCTGCTGCCTCCTACCAACCCTAGGGTGTACATGTGCACGACGTCACCTTACATTTGTGCACAACTGAAAATGGGGTGACCAACCTCGGACTTGTCACAAAACCTGAATCTTACATTCTGCCGTCAGGCTCTATCCCCTGCCGCCTTCTCCCCGACCGCCTCTATCCCCTGCCGCCGCCTCCCCTGCCGCATCCTCCCCTGCGGCCTCTAAGCCCTGCTGGTCCTGGCCTGCCACCTACTCCCCTCCCGTCTCATCCCCTGCTGCTTCCGTCCCCTGCCACCTTCTCCCCTGCCGCCTCCGCCCCTGCCACATTCTCCCCTGCCGCCTCTATCCCCTGCCGCTTCCTACCCCGCCGCCTCTATCCCCTGCTGCCTCTATCCCCTGCCGCCTCTATCCCCTGCCACCTTCTCCCCCTCCGCCTCTATCCCCTGCCGTGTCATCCCCTGCTGTCTCTTCCCCTTCCTCCTTCTACCCTGCCGCCTTCTACCCTGCCATCTCTATCCCCTGCCATCTTCCCCCCCTCCGCCTCTATCCCCTGCCGCCTCCTCCCCTGCCGCCTCTATCCCCTGCCGCCTCTATCCCCTGCTGCCTCTATACGGATCATCCCCTGCCGCCTTCTCCCCTGCCGCCTTCTCCCCTGCCGCCTTCTCCCTTGCCGCCTCCGCCTCTGACACCTCCTCCCCTGCCGCCTTCTCCCCTGCTGCGTCTTTGCCCTGCAACCTTCTCCCCCTCTGCCTCTATCCCCTGCCACCTTCTCCCCTGCCACCTCTATCCCTTACCGCCTCTGCCCCTGCCGCCTCCATCCCCTGCCTGCTCCTCCTCTACCGCCTCCTTCCCTGCCGCCTCTATCCCCTGCCGCCTCTATCCCTCAGCCCTCAGGCAGAAAGGAGAGCAAGAAGAAAGAGCGAAGCACTGACTCTTACTTTCTTCGAGGACATGTTTCTGCCTTTCTGCTATTTGCTCTCACGTTCTTCAGGAATATCTTTTACTTGCTCTCACTTTCTTCTCTCACATATGTGTCTTTTACTTGCTTGAACAGGCGACTTGTCACAAAATCTGAATCTTACTTTAAGCCGAAAACGAGATTACTCGCGTGGGATTTGAACCGGCGAAAATGTCATCGTTGTGTTAATTATGTGTCCGTCATCCAAAAAAGCCCGAGTTTTCCGTTGGACATTGGACTTGCGAACCACACAAACGCACGCACGCACGAATGGGGGTTCTAGCCGTAGCCCTCAGAAAGGAGAGCACAAGTTGGGTGTCGGTTAGGTCTTGAAGCGCCAGCGGCTACAGGAAAGCACCCCACTGCCGCATGGCTTTGTAATAATTAAACACACAAGTCGGGTGTCGGCTTCCTCGAAGCCGGAAAAAGGGTGGGCCCCCCCTGCATCCGTACAGGCCGGTAGCTAGCGCGGCACGTGTGACAATTGATGGGTAGTGTCAACGCGGTGGGAGATGTGCTTTGTTGCAGCAGTGCTGATGGTGTGGGAGCTAAGCTTGCACCGGCGGAATCGTCAGCACTGCCTGCGGGCTCCACACGAATCGCATCCATCCCAGGTGCATGCCGCATGGAAAGTGCGGCAGACCGCAAGTCAGAATGCCCGTGCGGGCAAATGGTAACGAAAGCTGGGTGAATTTCGGTGCTGTCTGTGATGTTTATCCTCGAAGCGCCAGCGGCCTCAGCAATCCGCCCCACAGCCGCGAGCTTCATCGGGGCACACCGCAAGTCTCCAGAGGCCCCGTGCATTGGCCAAAGTAAATGTACAAACAAGCAGCTTGTGTATTTCATAGAGAAATGTAAGCAAATTTGTTGGCCTGCTGGTGGCAAGTCGGATTGCCCATGCCGGCAAATGGTAACACAAGCTGGGTGTTCGAGTTATCATATGCCGTCATCTCAGCTGAGATTCTGCAGAATTCCATTATGAGATACACAGCAGCTTTCGGGATGTAATTTAGCGCGAGAGGCGTTGATGTGACTTTTGAGGTCGGTGAATGGAGGCAGCTAAACTTGTTTGTGCTCATACGTTCTTTGTTGACTACTAGTCAACTAGTCGCCTGTAGTACAGGCGAGATACCTTGCAATAGAGAATGCTATATAGTACCGATAACATGTTTCAGCCGGGTGAAATATTATGTTTGGTCCGTTACACACTCAAGGCCTGGGAGTTCGAGTTATCATACACCGTCATCTAAGAAATCAAATATGAGATACGCGGTACCTTTTGAGATTAAATTTAGCCTGAGAGGCGTTGATTTGATTTCACACACACACACACACACACACACACGCACACACGCGCACGCATGCACGCATGCACGCACGCACGCACACATGCATGCATGCACGCATGCATGCACGCACGCATGCACACATGCACGCACGCACGCACGCATGCACGCATGCACGCACGCATGCACACATGCATGCACACATGCATGCACGCACGCACGCATGCATGCACGCATGCACGCATGCATGCACACATGCACGCACGCATGCACACATGCACACACACACACGCACACACACACACACACACACACGCACACACACACACGGACATGGGCAATCCTACAGGTCGGGGCCCCCCTGGGCGCTTCACGCTGGGGGCCCGCCCAAAGAAAAAGACAGAAACACGGCCGTGTTTCTGCCTTTCTTTTACTTGCTCTCACTCCTCGGGAATCAGTGGGTTTCCAAAAAATTACTGCATCCTTGCCGTCAATAATTCTATGATCATAAGGGGGTGTTTCCACTTGCATTAAAAGGCGCGGATTAAGGCTTAGGGTGTATTTCCAGTGCGGATTAACATCGCGGATTAACCCTCTGTCCTCCATCGATACTGGCTCAAACGGCTAAGTTGTCGGCAAACTTACCTCGCCTTTCCAATCTTTGGTTCCCTTATGGAACGAAACTATACGGTAAGCTCGTACCAAGGACATCCGTGCCCTAATCGCTGGCCATAATCCGCACTGGAAATACACCCTTAATCCGTCGCACACGGAAACATCGCGCGGATTAGGGCGGATTATACTCCGCCTAATTAGGCGGAGTAAGGTTGGCGCGATTTGTTAGAGATTTCCGCCCGTACTCGCGCGCCTCGCGGATTAATTTAGATTAACATGGTATGAAATGCGTGCATTCTTCATTACTAAAAGCTCATACTTACAGGGTGTTTCCACTTAGCCGCACACTAACGTTAAGTTCAAAAAACCTCACACCTGGCTCAGCGAATCATCCAAGCGACAAGGAACTAATTAAATACAGTAATAGAAAGCAAATGTTCTCTAAAAACATTGCGTAGATAGAGCAATATACATCGTTGGACGATTTTCAATCTCCTGCCTTAGAATCTGTCCAATTAGCATTGGCTATAACTTTTTACGTGTGGCCACCTCGTACCATACATACTCGCATACATATATCATCAGATCATAGATCATCAGGTTCCGTTGGATGCCGGTGGTGGGTGCGGAACCTGAGCGCTCCACTGAGAAGTTGGCTAGGGTGACTGGATGCGGGTGCCCCAAACAACGGGGAAGGCAGGGTCTGCCGGGTAGCGGCCGCAGGGTGAAGATATGAACCCCCCTGTCCCACACATCATACTCGCAGGTCGCTGGATTTGCACCATAACCAGTTAAGCGGTACCCTTCCGTCCGCCTGGTCAGCAATGTCGGTAAGCCTGATGGCACAGATCCAAGTTGTGCGGGGTCTGGGTCATGGAACTCCATGCCTTGCACAAGCATTTCTACCCCTTTCCCTTTCCTGACACACTGCCTGAGCCTCAGAGGCAGTCTGCCTCTGGCCTGGTCACTCTCTTCCACACCTCCGCCACCCGCATGCCTGCACCTTGCTTTCTTGCTTCATTCATCAGGCACTTCAGACGCTACTGCTTAACGACAACCGGCTAAGTGGCGGGCTACCTAGCAGCTGGAATGTTCTGATGCGCCTGCAGCAGTTCGAGGGAAGCAGGAACAATTTTTCGGTGCGTTATACATACAAAGCAGTTGTGCAGGCTTTCTTTACTTTCAAGGAAAAAACTTAGATAGGTCATATGTACAGACTCCAGCCTGCTGCCTGGTGGCAGCAGTCCATACATGGACACGTGCCGCTTGAGCGCCGCTGGAGTAGAGAGCTAATTAGTTGGAGACTTGTTTGCAGCAAGGGGTGTCCTACACACAACTGGGAGCTGCTATAACTCGTAGAAGCTTCAGTGATTGTGCTGCCGCCTGTATGACACGGCCTACCTGTATGTCGTTCATGTATAAGTCTGCATCCAATTCTACATGTGCACTACATAGCTCTGTATTTTGGGGACCCCAGGGTGCTAACAGACGCCTGCCGGGTAGCCTCGGCATCTTCCGGGTCTGTTTGAGAACTCTCAGTGCCCAACAGCTCCTGAGTACAGATGACCTAACTATGCCGCCGTTGTCGCAGCCGCCACCATCGCCATTGGCCGCATCAGCAGTGGCGGTATCATCAACATTGCCGCCACCACTAGAATCACGCTCATGGTCGCCGTCACCATCGTTAGTATCCTGGGCCCCATCATTGCAGCACCAAGGCATGAACAGCTCGCCCGCCCACTTCCTCATGTACTCAACGAAGCTCATTTCTCGAAAGCTCTTGGGA